TGATATCGGCAGAAGATCCAAAAATTAATGTTGCGTTTACGCATATAAAATCTGTTGGTAGAATTGCACATTTAGGTAAAACTGTTTCTGGGGACCATACAAAATAGTTTAGCATTTAGTCATTAAACCTTTATTAATTCGTTTCGATTGGATTAAAATATTTTTACAAAGTGCATATATTTGCTATGAGTTCAGTCATATTAGTTTTTACAATGTTCCAGACAATTTAAACTCATTTTTCACATCTATCTGCATCGTGACCTTTCTGGTGCTCAATTCGCATCCTGTTTGAAATTGCCCCGATGTCAGGTACACGTGGTTGTGAATGATTTGATATTTTGATATTTCAATATACTATGACATGCATTCACATTTAACTCTGTAAATGACCTCATTTATGCAAGTATGCTCAAATGACTCTAAGTGCTTCCAAAACAGCTAAAGAGGTCATCAGAGCAGACTTATGCGCATATCCAGCCGGTTTAAAATATCTCAGTCATTTCGGAAATGTCACATCCTCCATTGGTCCATGAGGCATTCAGTACAAGCTAACGGTCACCAATGGCACCCGTATCTAAATAATATTGCTATAAATCAGGCATTTCTAATTCATAATTCTAGCCAAAACAAAAGCATGGGAAGATTGTGCTTCTAAAATACGTGAGTATTTCCTTAAAACGCTCTTGAACATCTAGACACCTAGGCTACCGGCCAGTCAGGACCAACTAAGGCCATGGTTAAATCGGCGTACAATCATAGTTGTTTGGTTCATAATTATTGTTTATTGAGTTAAAAACATCACCGAGCTCCTTAAGTGCCTAATTGTTAAGCACATAAAAAGATTAAATTCACTAGGAGATGTTAAGCCTTGCATGCAACAAAACCCACTAACCCCTATACATTAAAGCAATTAAAGTTTTGCCCTATACATTAGTTTTATAGATAGCTAAAGCGATTGCGTTGATAAAACACTTCAACCCCTTTAATGTGGAGATGTCACGCAAACTCTAATTCCTTTAGTGCCCAGACCAATCAAATACGTGCATCAAAAAGAGGGCGTTAACACTAACTGCTTTTATAAATTGCACAAAGCATCGCACCTTCTTATTTTCGGGGGATTTCCCTGCAAAAATGATATTCCTTTTCGTCTTTCTGACCATTTTGCCGACCTTCGATATCTACAGTGTAGGAAATGGGGAGCTATCAGATGCTCGCAATGGTCTCACCATCTACACTCTCACCTCTGACCGAGTCTGTACGCCCGAGATGATGCTCTACAACTTCACCCACAGTGTTGCTGCAGCTGTACGCTACGCGCGCTCACTGTTGCCAGTGGAGAGTGACACATACTTCGTCGCTAGTCTAGAGCACCGATGTGTACCTGGCTGCTCGATGCAAGAGGCATCGAGGGCAGGGACGTTATATGAAGTTCTGCAAAATTTACAGGTTGGTTGTGGTAGACCTCAAGATCCCTGCATGTGGTATTGTTATTTATATTCAGGTAACCTGGCAAACCTGTGTTAATAGACCACCGAATCCTCCTGTGTTATCACACTTAATATGGCAGTGCATTAGAATGGCGCCTACTGGTATAGCCTTATACGTGATTGCAAAAATGCATTGAGTTTATTTTTTAGGAAGTATTTGTTCACAGGAAAAAAATTGCATGGTGTCCACCACATTTATTCATAACTTCTCCTTATAGCACTTGGAGAAACAACGTTTTAATAACAAGTGGACTGGAAATGTAGAAGAGACAGCACTCATTTTACCGCCCCTCACTTTAGCCCTCCTTTCAGTGCAAATTATTTTAGTTGTCAATTTTCCAAATGCACTGAAAGCATGATTTCGTGCGCTGTCTTGTGAGATCAAGATTAGAAAATCCTCCTCCCTGGTTAGCCACATTTGATGTTTGTTCTTTTACTTATGACAGTGTAGTGTTTCGTGCAGAAGGCACACTTTTTGAAACAGAGCAATGCCATGTGCGTCTGCTTAGCGAACGGTTAAACCTGAAGGTAATTACCCATCAAATATCAATAGATCAGTCAGTATTCAATCGGGGGCAAATGAGCTACTTTGATCATGTATCAAAATGATTTGATTGTCTTCGAAGCCGTATGTTTGTCAATTTCTCAAGCATGACAAGTGGCATGTGAAAAGGTATTTAGCGCATATTCTTTGAGGTTTTTGCAAGTTGACTTTTGCCTCCCATTTAATGCATCTGTGTACAGTAAACAAACTGTCGCAAAATCACTTACGTAAAGTGCTTTACAGATGGCCAATTCCATGCCGCCCATATTCGCCTTTCCTGTTACTCCAATTATGTATCGTTATTGACACACAATCCCTTGCGATCAGGAAGGTGTAGTCCACCTTAACGTCAACGTAATGAGGCAAAGAAATCACTTACTTCTCGACGGTGCATTACGGTAAAAGTACGTGTATATGCCACTACTTCTCCAATCGTCAAACAGGAGATATGATGAGAATCGCTTTTCAGTTTTACCTGTGGAAAGAGGTTTGAGTGTGTACCATTAAAACAAACAAGTACAGAAAAAATAGGAAGTGAACAAGAAGTCGGTGTGAAGGTAAACGTTAGAATTCACAACTAAGTTTATCACTGCATCATTAATTTAATGCAAATTAATCCATGTTACGTGATAAAAGTATTGTGACCATTTACGTATTCTTGGCGAGATCTTATAAGTTGAAACATAAAATTGGCACAAGATTTAGCAATTTCGACCACTTTGTTTGCACTAAATTTGTTACAATTATTTCTTTGATTGACTTTTGCCCTCGAGTTTGCTAGATAAAGTAATAGAGGCACACGTCATTGCGATCAAAGTAGAGAAAATAAAAAGAATTGCTTTTGCATAAAATCTTCGACAAAGTGTATTTCAAGCACAATGAAATAAAGTTTTCTGATATTCTAGAAAATCGCATCAAAGTCTGCGGGATTCAGTGTATTACTAGGACCTTCATTAGCTAGTGATTGCAATTTAGTGAACGAGTGGATTAACCTCGGAGACCCCAATAATAAGCCAAGAGTTCAACTCTACCAGATTTCCTACTACTGTCAAATATTTTCATCCTCCTCCGTCTTTATCGACCGCCTTGCCGACACCGTTTGCGATTCACTTGCTCCACCCATCGCTGCGGTCTCCGTCGCAGTTCAACGCAAGACCATTCTGCAAGGCATTCTCGTCTATCTCCTCAATAGTGGTTGGAAACACATTGCACTGTTCTACGATATGCTAGCCACCGACCTTGGTATTCCTGAGACGTTGAATTCAATTGCATTAACGATTCCTCTCTCACGAAAAAGAGAAAAAGTGCTTCAACTGCTGACCAGTGTCAGTATTAAATCGACTACAAACTTTACGAATCTAGTAAAGCCACTGGAAGATCAAATAGAAGGTTGACCTTCATTTTTGTTTCCTTGAGCGGATTGTTTCACATATTTACTTACTACAACTTCCTCTTTAGCTGCATTGATACTAGCAAGGCCATCACTAGCGGTGAAATTCGTAGTTGGCATCCAGAACTTGACCAGAATTAAACAAGGGAAGATAGCACTCATTCAGGTGGATCCCATGGATATGTTCACTTACGATGCCTTGCGTGGATGGGGATCGCAGCTGTCTGAAATTAGACCCACATTAGCTGCTGGTCGTTCGCTCATCATTGTAACCGCACTGCCCAAGGGCACTACATACGATAAGGATTCAATAATATATAAGGAGGTATTCCACACCACTTCGCCCTCATTTCACATTTAATCCACACAGAGTGACAATCTCATATTGATATTGTTGACTGTGACACCAACACGGCTAAAGCTTTAAGTGCACCCGCTAAAGCTGATAATTCACTGGGATGTTATCCTAATCAGCAAATACCTACATGTAGAGGAACTAAATACTTGCCAGAACTCAAGCTGTGGAGGAGCGACCCCTTGAAAATCCCAGTCTTAAAAAAGAAGGGGTGAAGCTTTTGTTTAAATTATTGAATTCAACCTTGAGTTTCTAAAATTGCTACTTACTTCCCTTTAATTTGATACCCAGTATTTATCTGTAGGAGAAACAAAAGTCATAAATGCTATCTCCTTTAGCGGTTTCACTTTACTGCAGTTTGGGTTGTACCAGTAAGGTCCCAAGCATAAATGGGAAATTTTTGCGGTTTTGAGGATGAAAAGTCTCTTAATCCACAAAA